GATTGAACACAATTAACAAACGACCTCATTGACATATATAAAATGCTATGCCCAATAACCACAGACTACACATTCTTGTTGTAGATATTACTGGAATTTACCATAAACAAGTCAATAAAGAAGGTCTAAACAAATGTCATAAGTTAAAATAATAGAGTATGATTTCTGACCACACTAGAATGCAGCTAGAAAGCAGTAATAAAAGGATAACTAGAACATCTTCCAATGTTTGAAAATCAGGCAATACACAAATAACCGATCAATCAAAGATGAAATCACAAATAGCAAAGGAATATATTTTGAAGTGAATGACATAGCAAAATGTGTGGAATGCAAGGGCCAGCCAAGTGGCTCAGTTGGTTAAGAACTCGCTCAAGAGTGCGAGCTCTGAGCAACTAGCAGTTCAATTCCCGGCCTGAGCTGAGCTGTCGCTGAGCTGCCAACAGGTGGCAGGATGCTCAGATTTAAAAAAAAAAAAGTGGAATGCAGCTAAAGCATCTTATGGACCAAATGTTTGCATCCTCCCAAAATTCATATGTTAAAGTCCTAATCCCCAGTGTGGCTGTATTTGGAGATAGGACCTCTGAGGAAATAATTAAAATTGGATAAGGTCATAAGGGTGCGGCACTGATTCAACAGTATTGGTGTTCTTATAAGAAGAGATCCCGGAGAACTTGCTATTGCTCTCTATACATGCACGTATCAAGGAAAAGTCCATTAACAAGAACGCTATGCAAGCCTGCAAGCCAGTAAGACTCCTCACCAGAAACTGACTCACCAGAAACTGACTATGCTAACACCCTGATCTTAGATCATTCTTCTTAAGTGCATATGGGACATTTTCCACACGGACAATATGTTAGGCCACATAATTTAAGTCTCAATAGATTTTAAAAGGCAGATATCATACAAAGTATCTTCTCTGACCATAACGGGATGAAATTAGAAATCAGTAACAAAAATAACACTGAGGGCCAGCCAAGTGGCTCAGTTGGTTAAGAGCTCGCTTGGGAGCACCAGCTCTAAGCAGCAGGACCGCGGTTCAGATCCCAGATTAAGGGCCAGTGATGCTGCGCCCTCTACAGCTAAGATGATGAACAACAGCTCGACCTGGAGCTGGGCTGCTGTGAGTCGCCGGTGATAGCGTAGGCTGCAACGGGACTGCAGTGGGCTGCCATGAGCTACATGAGTGGCTGGCAGCCAGAGTGAGCGGCTAGCAGCTGGCGAGAGCTGCTATGAGCCGCAGTGAGTGGCCAACCAATGATCAGCGACCAATTGCCTCACCCGGGAAGAGCACAATGATCATACCAACATGGGCCAGTGAAGCGATGTCCACCACAACTAGACTGAAGAACAAAACAGCAATTTGTCTACCTGTCTGTTCCCCTTCCTCGATTCCCCGATGCTGTTACCCTCCCCCAAATCCCCAATAAAAATCTTTAAAAAAAAATAAAATAAAATAAAAAATAAAAAACTTAAAACTCACAAAATTGTGAAAATTAAACAATACACTTCTAAACAAACAACTGTTTAAAGAAGAAATTACAAGGAAAATTAGAAAATACTCAGAAGGCAAATGAAAACAAAACCCACAACACACCAAAATTTATGGATGCAGCAAAACTAGTTCTTAGGAGGAAATTTATAGTTATAAATGATTACATTAAAAAACAGGAAAGATTTCAAATTAACATAACTTTACAACTTAAGGAACTAGAAGAACCAAAGCTAGCAGAAGGAAGGAAATAATAAAGATTACAGCAGAGATACATGAACTAGAATAAAAAAACAACAGAGATAAATCAATGAAACTAAAAGTTGGTTCCTCGAAGGCCGGCCGAGTGGCTCATTGGTTAGCAGTTGGCTTGGGAGCACGAGCTGTGAGCATCAGGGAGGCCAGTTCGGATCCCACATAGGCCAGTGACACTACCCTCTACAGCTAAGATGGTGAACAACAGCTCGACCTGGAGCTCGGCTGCCGTGAGTGACCGGCAACGGCATAGGCTGCAGCAGGGTTGCCATAAGCTACTGTGAGTGGCTGGCAGCCAGCGTGAACGGCCGGCAGCATGAGCTGCCGTGAGCTGCCAAGAGCGGCCGTCCAATGGCAGCCAGGAAGAGCGCAATGATCACAGTACCAACATGGGCCATTGAAGCGACGTCCTCCACAACTAGACAGAAGAACAAAAGGACAGCAACTTGTCTGTTCCCCTTCCCCCATTCCCTAATGCTGTTCCCTCCCCCAATTCCCCAATACAATCTTTAAAAATAAAAAAAAAGTTTGTTCTTCGAAAACTTGAACAAAAGTGACAAGCTTTATCTAAATGGACTGAGAAAAAAGAAAGGAGGCTCAAATTGCTAAAGTCAGAAAGTGAGGACATTACTACTAATTCTACAGAAGTAAAAAGAATTATAAGATTAAAAAACAATGAAATCTTACCATTTGGGACAACACGAATGGACCTAGAGGGTATTATGCTAATTGAAGTCAGCCTGAGAAAGACAAATACCATATGATCTCACTTACATGTAGATTCTAAAAAAAAATAAATGAACAAACAAAACAGAAACAGACTCATAGATATAGAGAACAAATTGATGGTTGCCAGAGGGGAGAGGGGTTGGGGAGCTGGGTGAAAAAGGTGAAGGGATTAAGAAATAGAAATTGGTGGGCCGGCCAAGTGGCTCAGTTGGTTAAGAGGGTGAGCTCTGAGCAATGGGGTCACCAGTTCGATTCCCACATGGGCCAGTGAGCTGCATCCAAGCTGAGCTGCCACTGAGGATGGCTCAGCTGGTGAGAGCACGTGCTCCTAACAACAAGGTTCCCAGTTCGACTCCCGCATGGGATGGTGGGCTGCGCACTCCCACAACTAAGACTGAACACGACACCTTGAGCTGAGTGGCTGCAAGCTGCCGACGGGCGGCCGGATGCAACTGGACTTGCAGCTGAGCTAGCTGCACCCTCCACAACTAAGATTGAAGGACAACAACTTGGCTGTTTCAATTCCCCAACACTGTTCCCCTCTCCCAATTCCCCAATAAAATCTTTAAAAAAAAAGAAAAAAGAAATATAAATTGGTAGTTACAAAATAGTCACGTGAGTATAGCATAGATGATACAGTCAATAATGTTGCAACAACTATGTATAGTGCCAGGGGGTTACTAATGAGAGAGGGGAACCATTGCATAAATTATATAAATGTCTAACCACTATGCCATACACCTGAAACTAATGTAGAAAACTAAATGTCAACTGTAACAGAAAAAATAATAATAATTTAGGGGAAAAAAAGAAGAGTACTATAACAACTGTAAGCTAAAAAATTAGATAATCTTGAAGTGGACAAATTCCTACAAACACAAAACTTACCAAGACTACATCCACAAAGAAATAGAAAATCTGAATACACCTGTAACTATTGGGTTGTTGGAAAAGTCATGACACATTTTTGCAACGAAAAACCTAAAAAAAATACGTCATGACTTTTCCAACAACCCAATAGTAAGAAGATTGAACCAGCAATCAAAAATCTTCCAACAAAGAAAAGCCCTGTTCCTGACAACTTCCTGGTGAATTCTAACAGACAATTAATAAAGCACTAATATGAATCCTTCTCAAACTTCTCCAAAAAATTGAAGATGGAATACTTTCTAACTCATTCTATGAGGCTAGCATAAGCATGATACAAAGTCAAAGATACTACAAGAAAACTACAGATCAATTCCTTATGAACATTGATGCAAAAGTCTGCCAACAAAATACTAACAAAAAGGACTTACTAGTATATTAAAAAGATTATACAGGGGCCAGCCAAGTGGCTCAACTGGTAAGAGTGCAGGCCCTGTTTGATTCCCACATGCGGCAGTAAGCTGCACCCTCTACAGCTAAGATAGTGAACAACAGCTAGACCTAGAGCTGGGCTGCCGTGACTAGCCAGCATTGGCGTAGGATGCAGCTCCTGCTGCAGTGGGCTACTATGAGCTACCATGAGTGGCTAGCAGCCAGTGTTAGTGGCTGGTGGCTGGCAACCAGCGTGACCTGCTGTCAACTTCCATCCAATGGCTGGTGATCAACTGCCTCACCCGGGAAGAGTGCAATGATAATACCAACATGGGCCAGTGAAGCAACGCCCTCCACAACTAGACTGAAGAACAAAATGACAGCAACTTGTCTGTTCCCTTTCCCTGATTCCCCAACGCTGTTCCCCTCCCCCAACTCCCCAATAAAATCTTAAAAAAAAACAATGGGCCGACCAAGTGGCTCAGTTGGTTAAGAGCGCAAGTTCTGAGCAACAGGACCGCCGGTTTGATTCCCACGTGGGCCAGTGGTGCTGCTCCCGAGCTGAGCTGTCGCTGAGCTGCCAACAGGTGGCAGGATGGCTCAGCTGGTGTAACAACAAGATTGCCGGTTCGATGGTGGGCTATGCCCACACCCGCAACTAAGACTGAACTCGGGACCTTGAGCTGAGCTGCCGCCCAGATGTCTCAGCGGATAGAGCGTGCTCTCTTAACAACGAGGCTAATGGTTCAACTTCCACATGCGATGGTGGCTACACCCACCCACAACTAAGACTGAACACAGCACCTTGAGCTTAGAGGCCATGAGCTGCTGACGGAAAGCCAGATAGTGACTGGCGCCCTCCACAATGAAGATTGAAGAACAACTTGGCTGGTCCCCTTCCCCAATTCCCCAACACTATTCCCCTCCCTAAATTCCCCAACAAAAATCTTAAAAAAACAAACAAACAAACACCAAAATTGCTTCTTTGAAAAGATTAATAAAATTGATGAGACCCAGCAAGACTGATCCATGTACATACACACAGAAAAAAGAATGGAAAGAACTAGTCCAAAACATAAAATAGGATACTTTTTACAGGGTGCAAATACAGATCAATTTTTATTTTCTTCTTTATATTCCTCTGGGTTTCTCAATTTTCTATAAGTAAGCTGTTTAACAAGTACCAACTCCACTGTGTGAAATACAGCTTTAGTAAACTTACCTGGCAGCCAGAGAATAAATGGCATTGGCAGATGCAGAAGGTTTAATTTTGGGGTGCTCACACTCTGGACCTGCTAATGGGGTGCTATTCATATTCTGGAAAGAAAAGTGTTGAAAAATGACCTTCTTAACACAGCAACATATCTCTTTAAAGATTTATCTCTTTAAATCATTATTTTGATCATGTTACTCCATTAATTTAAAACCATCAAATGCTCATTTCCTATCCAAAAAATTCAAATTATTTTGGGAAGGGGTAGTCAAGGCCCTCTAATCTAGTACTAATGCACTTTCTAGCCCCTTTTCCTACTTTGTTACACAAAATTTCTGCTCCACTCAAACTACTTTCTGTTCCACAATACACCTTAAGCATTTCTGTCATTGTAGCTCTGTAACAACTGTATCCACTTTGGAAAGGATACTTCAAATTCAGATGCCACTCTTTCCATAAAGCCCTCCCATTTGCTCTATCTGGGAATAACCTCTCCTTTCTCTAAAACTTAGTTTTTTATTTATAGTACCCATCGTGCATGCGTGCACACACTTATAGTATTTATAAACATGACTTATCTGCTCTGTTAAAACATATACTTCTTGTCAACTATAAGTGAATATATATAGTCATGGGACATGGAGTATAGTGTGGGAGTAGAGTCAAGGGAATTGTAATAGATATGTATGATATTGGGGGGAGAAGTGGGGCGGCGGATTGGGGGGGGGGGGTTGTCACCTTGAGGGGTAAAAAGTATAACTATATAACTATTGCACTGGTTGTACAGCTGAAACTAATTCTAAAAAATGTGTATTTCACAATAAAAAAATAATTTAAAAAAAAGGCACAACAAATAAAAAACAAAACAAAACATATACTTCTTGAGGGTAGGGATTATATTATCTCTGAATCCTATACAAAACCTATCACAAAACTTTGACCCATTAAATGCCACCCACAAATATTTGTTAACGAGCTATATAATTTCAAAATCAGGACTCACCATGGAGGTATCCAGACTGAATGTGCTTCCCAGCCTAGGCACATCTATTCTGGGTTCCATTTGTGAGGGTAATGAAAATGGAAGTGAATGCCGGTTGGTTAATTCTCTCCCTGTCCAGGGGTCACTAGGGTTTGGGGCAACTACTGGTACTTTGGGGATTGGTCGAGGCAGCCATGATTCCCCAAGGCGGCTAGAGGGGACAGGGGGCAGTTTGTCCCTGGATGGGCAGTCGCCTGGTGTACAAGGCAACGGGCGTCTCTGAGGCCGGGCTTCCGCTCCAACAGAGTAAGGCCGGTCTGGAGGAGGTGGCGGCGGAAGATCTCGAAGCGTGGGAGGTATTGGTAATGGTTTGTCCTTATGAAGGGAGCCAGAAGTGGCCTGTGGGTGCATGATGGAAACAAATCAATCAGAACCTACTAATCCACAACAAAGAATCAGGAAACTGTAGAAATGGATAATGCTTTACCTTTGAAGCAGTTCCAAGACCAGAAGAACTTGAAGGAATAGACACTCGTTGAAGGTCAAGTCGTGGTGGCACTGGGGGAAGGGAAGCTTGTGGGGCCATGGAGAACGGAGAAGGAGGCCGTTCCACCTAACACAAAGGAAATTTACTAATAGGTTACTCTTGTTTGGGGGAGTGGCATCTTTCAACTCCTAAAGTTATAGATAACAAGTACTATATGAAAACTGATTATAACTACCAGTGGGTCAGAGTTTGGCCTAGGGTAGCACTTCCTGAATTATCTTCATGTCACCATAAGAGGGCAGTCTCAATCACAAAAATACCATGCAGATGCAGACTACAGGCAAATGTATCTAGAAATGTCTGTGCTACAAAAAGCTTCCTAGCTTACAATTTTTTTTCAAAAATTACCATTTTCTATTTCCTCATCTTCAGAGAAAGGAAAAAAAATCTTTTCAATATTAAAAACAGAAACCCATATAAAAAGGGGAATTTTTCTGTAGTTGGGACGCTGTCCTTGGTCTAGTGACCACATCCAGGGTGGCTACGGAGATCCGCCTTAGGTAGAACATAATTTTTGTCCTTTACAATAGCTGGACCTGGGGCCCTAACCGGTTAATGCATATTTACGTGGTTTCTGTTCTTTGACAGTTCTACTGACCCTAGTGGTTTAATAGTGTAAACCTTTCTATTGGGTTGTCGGAAAAGTCATGATGTATTTTTTCTGTTTTTCGTTGCAAAAATGCGTCATGACTTTTCCGACAACCCAATATGTTGTGGGTGAAATTATGTAAGATGTGATGAGGAAAACCCTTCCACGAATTACTTTATAGTTCATTATACATGATAATTCATACTTAAAAGAATATGCATATTTGGCCGTGTGATATGTTTTCTCCAGTAACTTTACTTCTCTCCAAGAGGCCAGTTATTATGTAAAGATTTTGTGGGAGCTATGTGATGAGATGAGGAGTTCTTCAAATGACATCCTCTGACAATAAAACATGCTTAAATTCTCTAAAAAAAGGGGGGGAGCAGGGGGGCACAGACATTAACCTTTCAACAAATCACCTGAGAAAATAATGTTTAAGGGGCAAAACAATGAAAAAGATCAAAGATGATAAATTCTCTGTGTGTTATTATAATAAAAAGAAAAAAAAAGATTTCTAAGAGGAAAACGATCAACAATATCACTAAAGGGCACACTGAGTCCTTCTGAAGAAATAAGTTATTCAATTCAGTAATAAAAAGAGATTAATATTTTTTGTCAATTTATGTTCTAAAAAATGAGGTACCAAATTAGAAAAAACAATACATGTAAAGCCCTTTCCATCTCCCTGCCTATAGCAGGGTGATGAATAGTTGATAAGCTTGTCCAAGTAGCTGTCAACAGATATACAGTAATTCATACAAAATGATACTTTGTACTTGTATTCTCTAACAGAGAGCAACACAGATGGAATAGAGACAAAAAGGTATTACAAGCACTTAAATAAGATAGAAGAACAATCATCCCCATACTTAGTCCTGTCATTAATGCTGGGTGGTGAATGAGAGTAAAGAAACCCCTCATCACTAGCTACTTGCTTTTACTCATGCAAGAAAATGGGCTCCATGTCAACGGAGCATCACCAACACCATATGAGCAGCTAAACACCTCAAGGGTTAAGGAAGTGAAAAGTTAGTCATCAAGCTAATTCTCACTACATCATAAATTTCTAGTGAGTCACTGTATCCTGTTAATTTTTCCATAAAAGAATCTCATATCTATATCTTCCTTTTCATTCTACTTACCAACCTTGGACCCGTTTTATTAAAACTGCCTTCGAGTGTCTCACAACATCTCGTTCATATCTCATGAAATCCTTTTGCTCACCATTACCAGCTCAGCCATCCTTAAATGCTCACTAGCTCAAAAACCATCCATCAGTAACTCTCACCTTCCTACAACTCTACTCTGCAATTCTCATATCTTTGCCTATGTTCAAGATGTTTCCCAATAGAAAGACCCTCTCTGCCTATTTTGATCCTTCCCAGCATCCATCTCTCTTTCTCATTCCTAAACAGAGGGTTAAGCTAATCATACTCCTCAATTCATGCCACCACATCACAACCGATCCCTGCAATGTTCTTTTATCTTAACATATAATAAAGTTCTAGGAAAGAAGGAAAACACAAATGGAGAAGAAATTATATAAGACATTTCCAAGACCTAAGGGATATAAATATCCATATAGAAAAGGTTCACTGCATAGCCAGACCCAATGAAGGAAAAGAAACCCATAACAAACAAACAAAAAACATCCTTAAATTTTCAGGTATCAAGGATAAGGAAAATATCCTATAAGTTTCTGGGGACAGAAGGAAAGAGGGCACCAAACAGCAAAATTATACAGAAACTAGAAGTCAAGTGAAGCCATAACAATTTAGAGTTGAATTTTTTCAACCTATAATCGTATAACTTGCCAGAGTTCGAGGGTTGATTTAAAGACATTTTAAGATATCAAAACATCTCAAAAAATTTTACTTACCTTTTCACAGAAAGCTGTTTTGAGGACATATTCCACCAAAATAAGAAAGTAAAGCAAAAAGAAGGAAAACATGGGAGACAAGAAATAAGCACTCCAACACACAGGGGAGGTAATAAAGTCCCATGATGATGGCAAGGGGAAACTTCAGGGTGATGGGGAATGTACCATCCCCAGAATAATGTTTATTATTCTGTATTAATAGAATATACTGCATAAAAAATTACATTGAGAGGATGTTTGACAGTATGGTAGGACTTGGTAGTGAAAACTGAGGAAATAAAAATAAAGTGATTATCCCAGGAAAAGCAAAAGTAACTATATTATAATTATTATATTACTTGGCACATTAGGGAGCAAAATCATTTAAACACTGAATATGAATTTAGCCAAAAAACATTCAGATAAATATAGTGGAAAGATATAGAGTAGGAAGGAGGAAGGTAATGACATCTGAATCTTTTTTTTTTAGATTTTATTGGGGAATTGGGGGGAGGGGAACAGCACTGGGGAATGGGGAAGGGGAACAGACAAGTTTTATGCTTTTGTTCTTCAGTCTAGTTGTGGAGGACATCGCTTCACTGGCCCATGTTGGTATTATCATTGCGCTCTTCCTGGGTGAGGCAGCTGCTCGGCGGCCATTGGAGGTCGCTCACAGCGGCTCATGGCTGTTCACGCTGGCTGCCAGCCACTCATGGTAGCTCATGGCAGCCTGCTGCAGCCTATGCCGTCGCCGGCGACTCACGGCAGCTCAGCTCCAGGTCGAGCTGTTGTTCACCATCTTAGCTGTAGAGGGCACAGCGTCACTGGCCCTCATGTGGGATCTGAACCAGGGCCCTGCTGCTCAGAGCTGGCGTCCCAAGCCATCTCTTAACCAACGTGATACTTGGCTGGCCCCTAAATCTCTTCCTACAATACCTGAAGTGAACAGATAACTAATATTAAACAATCAAGAGAAAGCAGTATAAGCATGTGGTTAAGAAACAGTTTTAAAAACAGAAAAATCTGAATGGGCACAGAGAGGAGTTGAAGGGGTAGAAAGACAGAGAATCTACATTTCTGTAAGCTTTTTAGCAATTCTTTTAAACTTTTTAAAAACTCCATGTGCATTTATTATTTGGATTTTTTAAAAAGTAAATGCACTATATTAAAAATAAATGAAAATAAAACAAAAAGCAAAAATAATAAACAATAGCTAGCAGGATGTGACAAAACAGGCATTCTCATAGTCTCATATACCTTTGAAAGTGATTTTAGGACAAAACACTGGAGACAAATTTTAATGTCTATCAAAAAAGAACAATCATCACTGAGTATCACCTGAAGTCTAGATGAACAGAAGTCCTATAACTAAAGATATATAGAAGCCACCTCAAGATTGGTAGGAGGAGAGAAGATGCAGAACAGTTTGGTCCCACACCTATATGCGTGGGTTAAAAATTGGGAGGGATATCTTGGCTGCAGAGGAACCCTCTAAGGAGCGAGAGGTCCCAGCCCCACACCAAGCTCCCCAGCCCAAGTTTCCAGTGCCGGGAAGAGAAGTCCCCATAATGTCTGGTTGTGAAAACCAACAGAGATTGTGGCTGAGTGAGACAGAAGGCAGCTGGAGTTCCAGGTGTTCCTCTTAAAAGGAACAGATTTACTTGCTGATGCATTTGCTTACTCTGAACTCTAGCACGCACTTGGGCAGCCACTGGAAGCATACGGGGAGGATCTGAATTGTCTGGCTGAGGGGCAAGGGCTGGAGGGGGCAGCTTTCGCCAAGACAGAAATGCTGGCAGAAACTACTGTTCCTTTGTTGAGCCCTCCCCCACCCAGCCTGCAAACACAGGCAGGCACCATATCTGAGTCTCCATCAAACTTGTTAACACTGCTGTTCCAGCCCTGGTGATTCCCAGAGACTCCACCCCACCCAACTTGAGGGCCCACCCAAGCTGCATCTAGTGGCTTTTCCATACAAATGGCTAGTCTTGGCTCACGTTGTGAACTTTTCTAAAATCTTTCAAAGGTTCACAAACTGCAAACAAGCAGCATTTGGCCTCAGCATGCCCCATACTTCTTGCTAAGCAGCCTCAAACCTGGCACTAGTGGTAGCCAGCTTCACTTTGCAACTTAGCCTTTCCCAGGCACCTCCAAGCCCAGCACAAGTGGCAACCATCTTTAGATCACTTTGTAGCTCATACAAGGGGCCTCAGAAACAACACACCTGGTGGCCTGCTCCAGATCACAACAGAGAACTACCCAACCACCTCCAGAAATGACACACCCAAAAGGCAGACTCCGCTCCAGAGCCCCACTAAAGCAAATCCTGCTCTGTGGGGTCAGCCCCTGCACAAAAGCTCTACCACTGGAGTCTTGGCCAGTCCCCACAGCCAATCAGCCTGAAGGTCAATCCTTCCCACTGATATGCAAACATCTATCAAGGCTCAACTACAACAGGAGGGTACACAAGATCCACACAAGGGACATACCTGGAGCACCTGGCTCAGGTGACCAGGGAGACTGCGCCACTGGGCCCCACAGGACACCTACTACATAAAGTCACTCTGCCAAGACCAGGAAACATACCATGTGTCCCCAAAAATAAGACCGGGTCTTATA